ATTGAGCAAAGCGATTCTAGCGAGCTAACATTAGAATGACTTTGACCAACCAGTCAGATGGGCCGATTGTGGAGGCACAGGGCATCAGCAGACAGTAGATACTGTAGTCAAATCACGTTGCTTTTAGGTGAAAAGTAGCATTTGTGGTACAGAGGAGTATGTTTACTGAGCATATATAACAAAAATGGATTATATAGGGTGTATCTAATATGCTGTAAGATGACGTCTCGTTTTTCCATTGGAGTGGCTATAGTGATTTACACCAGCGGTCGTTTATGATCCATTTCAATTGTATCCACATTAACAACACAAGGCAAGCGATTCCTTTTATAAATTAAACAAACTCTCTATTCACTTAACATTTAGTTTTCATAAATCAACCTTACAAATCTGTAACACCAGCATTCTATAATAATAGTTATTTAGTCATTAGGTAGAAGTTGAATGATACATTTTTTCTTGATAAGAATTTATAAACCTGAAGAATAAAATTCTTGATAATTGACAATTTCACGAATTTTGATTGTGACTAACACGTAAAATACAACATGTAAAGACGTCAATTTTATAGTTTACTCTGAATAGCAGTGAGTGAAGGAGTTCTCATACAGTACAAAATAAGAAACCATAAACATAATTTAAAAAGTATTATATGCTGAAAACAGATCCAGCTCCTTCTGAGTTAGGGCAAAGAAACATGTATATATTGTTTCAAATGATAGTATACGGATTCTCAAACAGATTGGCAAGTTGTGAAATAGTTTGTAATATAAGTAATCTTGTGAAATTGTTTCTATCACCCAGTAATCATAAACCTTATAATTGATCATCAGTTCTAGGGATGCAGTTTCTTTATCTTCTGACTGTGTGACATATGCATATTAATGTATTCGGTTTTGTAATATCCTAAAGGCGTAAATAAGATTTTTACTGAAATAGCAATAATAATAATTCTTCATTTATTAATACTAGTCAGCATCCTACTCTCAGAATAGTTGTAAGATTTCCTCTGTATTAAGAAAAAACACTTTAATTTGATGATATTAGATGGTTGGAGGCAATCGTCAGGAAGCGTTGAACCTAGCATTCGTGCTAGTTGGCACTCGTCAGCTGGGCATATCTGCAACCTTGAAGGAACTCATGTCCCTTCTGAGATTCGAACCTGCGTCACCCAGTGCTGCAGTCAGAGACGTTACCACTGAACTATTCAGGCTCGCGATTGAACTCCTGTAGGACTGTAGTGGATACTTTGTTTGGATACTAGCAAATAGTGGGATGTGTCTAGTCCTTTCTTTGGCGCAGACTGAATTCTATCACACTTTAAAAAGGATTAAAATACTCCTGAACTATTTGCACATTTTTATAAGTACTTATAATTCAGAAGAGAAGTGGGTCAATGATATATCTTAACAAAGATGCTTATTTTACGGTCGTTATATTCGCGTATTAGCATAAATAATATGTTCAAATAAAGTATAATTATATTTTGATGGTTTACACACAATGATAAGTTTTGTTATTGGTAATATTTCGAGCGAAATTACTGCCCGTGTTCACAACACTGTTGGAATTGTATTTTTTTTTTAATTGTTAACACGGGCAGTAATTTTGCGCGAAATATTACCAATAACAAAACTTATCATTGTTTGTAAACCATTGAAATATAATTATACTTTATTTGATCTATTCCACAATGCTCAAACTTTTTACTGACATAAATAATATGTTATTTAGATCTTTGACACTAAATAATGAATTGGTAGATTTTTTATGAGGTATTTATTTAGGCAGCTTCAGGGTTTCTGCAATTTTTTTGAAAGTAAATGTCGTTTCATAGTCATATCCAGAGGCTTCAGACTTCAATGTTGGAAATATGAAATTACGTTCTTATGACTTTATACTGCTATACGTGGCCTATTGCATCAGGAATTCTTATTGTTTACTTATGTCCAAGTGGCGCTGACTCAAACCAGGGGTATTTAGCTCATGCCATAACATCACCGCAGAGTGGTATTTACACTTTACATCTTTTCTACTTGCAATTTAAATGGATAACCTAAAGTTGGCCCTCACATTAATGTAAACAAAACAAAGGATGAAGAGTCAAGCTCAGAACGAAATAAAACTGTCAGAGCCAATGCTGAAGCTGGTGGCATATCAGGTTATTAGCATCAGGTGCATTGTGCAGCAGTTCTATCCATCCTACTCTATGGTTGTGACAATATGACTCTTGAGGAGTGGGATAATGAGGGAGTTTCAAGCACAAGCAACTTCTTGGCTTACATCACTTGCAGTTGACCTACTACATGGGTAATATTTCTAGGTTGGATGTATAATGTCAAGCAGATAAAATAAGCCAGTCAATCCATTTGAAAAACTTCATCTACTCAAGTGTATGAAACATGTGCCATTAACTTCAAGATATGGTCTTCAATCAATAAAATTAGCCAGAATATGTAGAAATTGTAAATACTGTTTTTGCATAGACTTGAGATTCAAAAAAATATTTCTGTTTTTGAAGTTCATTTTACTTACCTTTTTTGCTAAAAGTAAATGTTTTTTGCATGCATAATGTAAAATTTCCTATCAGCTTTTCATGCTCAACGGCATATACGATCGTTCAACCACAGCTTCTGTGTTATGCTTAAATAGATAGGATTCGACGAAATTTAGTTTCTACCTGAGACTATCATGACAAAATTGTAGCTACTTTGCGCATGACAATGACGACCAAAACAGAATGCTTATGGCAAAAAAAATCGAAAAGTTTTGACTATTATTACAGTGAATTTTCAGTTATGATAAGAAAAACCAATCTCAAAAGAAGTGTGGATTTTCTGCAAGATATGATAAATGCCTATGTCATGTGATTATGAACAGAGAAGAGATCACTTTTCCTAACTTCACTTCAAAGCTGTACAATAAGTCAGGGAATGTATGTATCCAATGTTAATCAACAGCAGATGTCAGAGTTTATTGTTGTTTAGTAATAAAATGTATCGAAATGTATTCGTGATAAAATGTGTGAAAAATAATGAGTAATCTTACGAAATCGTCAGGTTCGACAATTAATTAGTTGAGTGATGAATAATCATTTGGAAATAATTCATAGGAGGAAAAAAGGATATAAAACCGGGATACAGAATTTCTTTATATAAAAAGGCTTGCATTGAGTTTGTAGAGTCCAGGGTAATTATCTTGTACATCTTTTAGTTGAATGACAAAAATGACACTTTTTGTATATCTGTTGTTTAAATTGGCATTTTCGTCACACAACACAACTTTCAGCTACTTTGAAATATAGACTCACTTGGTTGTTGCTGAGTCTTCTTACTCTCCGCAACTGCTCGTGTGTCAATGCTGATTCTTTTGTGCTTGCTTTGGATTTTGCAGAGCGTAATCAACCACCCGTTTAGTGACATCTTCTGTCGAGGAAAATATCATTAAAGCCTACCTATTTGCCTTACCACTGGATTATACAGTTTAGATTGTGGAAGTTGGACTTGGGCCTAACTGCAAGCAACTGTAACTTCGTATAACGTAATTACCTTAACAACTGTAATATACTGACTGAATAGCGTAACTAATTTCCCCTTTTTATTTTGATACTTTATACAATAACTGAGTTTTGTGTTTAGTCCACCACAAGTTCACCATACAAGAATTCAGGAAGACGAAATTGACACTAAGGCCACTGTACTAAAACAGGCTGGATAACCTGGTCTAGTCGCTTACCACTCGCATTCGGCGCATATGTAGCCCTGATATTGCGGAAGATTAATTATATCGTTTGAGGAAAATCCTAATAGAAAATGGATTTCCACCACGTTTTATAGATAAGAATATACATTCAAATCCTGTAAAACGTGACTTATCATCCGTACCCAAGAAAATATTTTATATGAGCTTGGAATTCAAAGGGGACTTAGCTTCTGATATCATGAAAGGAATGACATCACAGTCCCTGAAAAGAACATTCCCTGCTGCATCTCTGAGAATAGCCTTTACCAGTCGACCATTACTGTTCAATAACCTGAAGGACAAGATCCCGCTGTTGACCAACTCTATGTGAGTTTATCAATTCACCTGCTTGTGTGGAGTTAGGTATATCGGTCGTTCGACTCGAGTTTTGTCCAAGAGGGTGTAAGAACACTATCCTGCATGATTATGAAGAGGTGGAAGTGGAGCAATAAGAAGCGCGATCATTAAACATCCGGTCGAAAATGATCACCCTATCTCTATAGCCCTCGCCTCTAATGTTGTAGTGGTAAATAATTCCCCAAAATTATTGACCACAGCAATCATCACTCAACATTGGATGCTGACCCTCACTGTTTAAGTCGACTTGTTTAGCTGAAGGCTTCCGGTCAAGCATCCCCGCCATTTGGTACTCCGTCGTGTCATGTGCGTGCACGATCACTAACTAGCTAAGCATTCACTTCAGCCCGCGATTTGGTCTCGAAATATATGTAGGGGACTTATGTTAGAGTTCACTAGTATTACAAAATATGAGAAATAAAATTCAAGTCAATGGAATGTTAAGTAACAGTATATTACCAAAAATGCAACGACACGTTATATCAACAAAAGGGTTACTTGGAAATAAAGTTTAAGTCCTCTGCTACAAATTATTTATATAACCCACGGAGACGTTAATTGTTTGGACGGAGTAGGTTGTAGCTGCTGTGTCCCGGTTGTATAATTGTCTTCGGTTGAGCGTAGTGGACTTCTACAATAAATCCGAAAGATACAACACGGTGAGAGCTGAGCTAGTAAGCCGAAGAAACCAAGGAGAAGACGAAGTCTCCAACAGCAGAGTGTATTTTCCAATCGTACACGGAAGCCAAGTGTATTTCAACAAGAAGCGTTTTAAACAAAAATTATGTACAATATGTCTAATTTCTACAAATAACCAAAAAGTGTACAATCACATTGTTACGCACTCCACAGGGCTCCCCCTCTAGAGGTCCGGAGAGACCATCGGAAAATGTTAAGTAAAGCTGTGAAGTAAATAATAATAGTAATAACAATTTTTGGATAAAAATAGGGATATATTACAACATGCATAAACGCAAGAAGTTATGTGAGTCATGTAAAGTCTGAAAGCATATACAATTAGTTCAGCAATAAAAAAATTAAAACAGAAAGTCATGTCTTTTAAATTTGCACTAACCATGAGCATAGGTTTTCAATGTATAACGAAAAAAAATATGGATTAAAGATCAATAGTTTCTGAAAAGGACAATGCCTGTTTTATAGGTGAGGTACACATAAGTAAATAATAGTGATAGTAACATCAAAGTTTACAACGAAATACTAACGGTCATGATAATAATGTCTAAACGAAAAAGATAATAATAATTTTTAATATTTTTTTATTAGTCCTCAAAATGAACGTAGCGAGCCGGTTTACTGATTTGCCGACCACTACGTGTTTGATATGGAGGGATGATAAGACTTGGTGCCGGTGGAGTGGAATGTGATGTTTGATTATTTGATTGTGCAGTTGCCGATGTAGCTTCAAAATCGTTGTCTGTGTATGCGGGTTTGATGCGATCGATGGAAACAGTCTCTCGTTTTCCATTCTTGTTCACCGTAAAGTGTTTTTCTGAACGTTTAATAACTTGAAATGGTCCTTCGTATGGAGGTTGTAATCCTTTTCTGATGGCGTCGACTCGAACAAACACGAATTTGCAAGTTTGTAGATGTTTGTTGATCTGATCTCGTCGGGGAGATTGTCGAGGTGCTGTTGGTTGAAGCTGAAGCATTTGTCTAGTTAATCGGTTGGTGAAGTCGGTAATGTTCACGTCTGTGGAATCGGCTGAGGGGACTAGCTGTCCAGGCAAGGTTAGGTTGGTGCCATAAACAAGTTGAGCCGGTGTACATCCTAAATCTTCTTTGATAGTAGATCGGATACCAAGTAAAATTAAAGGTAAGTATTCACTCCACTTAGATGTATCATTTTGCGCCATCAGGGAGCTTTTCAGTTGTCTGTGGAATCTTTCCACTAGACCATTCGCTGCCGGATGATAGGCTGTCGTGGAGATATGTTTCACTCCCAGGAGTCTCGTCAGTTCGCGAAAGAGTGTCGATTGGAATTGAGGACCGCGGTCGGATGTAATAGTAGTTGGTACACCGTAGTTTGACACCCAACGGTCGAGAAAAACCAAAGCAACGTTTTCAGCAGATATGTCGTTTAAGGGGCATGCAATAGCCCAACGAGTAAATCTATCAATCGCTGTCAGGATATGTGTATATCCTCTTGATGTTGGCAATGGTCCCACGATATCTATATGGATATGCTGAAATCTCCTTTCGGGTAATTCAAACGGCTTCGGGGTCGTAATAGTGTGACGGTGTACTTTGGAGCATTGGCATTGGAGACATTCGCGTGCCCATCTCCGAATGTCAGAGTTCATTTTAGGCCACACGAAGCGTTCGCTGATGAGTCTGACTGTGGCGCGTACTCCAGGGTGAGAAAGAGAATGTAAATGGTCGAACAATGCTTTTCGGCAACTGAGAGGGACAAATGGACGGTTAGTGCCGGTAGATACATCGCAGACTATAGTTGCATCTGATAAGGGGATAGGCACCTCTTTGAGCTGTAAGGAAGAGTTTCTGCGGCAGGTTTGGAGTTCAACGTCATCTCTCTGTAATTGAGCCATGCGATCCAGACTGATGTCTACCGCGGTTTGAAGCTGGTTTATTTCACTTCTTGAAAGGGAATCGGCTACCACGTTCGCATCCCCTTTGATGTACTGGATGTCGGTTGAAAATTGGGAGATATAATCCAACTGTCTGGCTTCTTTAGGGGAGTGTTTATCGAGTGAAGTAGTGAAAGCATGACACAGGGGCTTGTGGTCAGTAAAAATAGTGAAGTGCCGGCCCTGTAGTAAGTAACTGAAATGCTTCACTGCAAGATATATGGCCAACAATTCTCTCCCAAAAGTGCTATAACGTGTCTGAGCCGGTTCCAGCTTCTTAGAAAAGAATGCGAGTGGGGTGACTTCACCTTTCATCTTTTGTTGTAATACTGCCCCTACAGCTACTTGGGAGGCATCTGTGCACAAAATAAGCGATGCTTCGGGGTTGATATGAGATAGCATAGTGACTTTGGATAAGGCGTCTTTTGCGTTGCCAAAAGATTCATGGGCTTCAGCTGACCACTGAAACTTTTTAGGATCATTTTTAAGGAGGTCGGTTAACGGCTGGACGATGGAGGCACACGAAGGAATGAAACGCCGATAGAAATTAAACATCCCCAAAAAACGTCTGACCTTCTTAAGTGAATCTGGTACGGGGAAGTTTTTGATGGACTCTACCTTTTCCTCCGTAGGCGTAATACCATTCGCAGTTATGTGGTGTCCCAGAAACTGTATAGAGGGGACACCGAATATGCACTTTTTGGGGTTAATGACTACTCCATATTGCTCAAATCGTTGAAATAAGATGGTGAGGTGATCAGTATGTTCTTCGGGCGACGAGCTGGCAATTAAAACGTCATCGATATATACAAATACAAAGTCCAAACCTTGTGTGACCTGATCCATGAACCGTTGGAAGGATTGTGCTGCGTTCTTTAGGCCAAATGGCATTCGGAGAAATTCGAACAGGCCGAAAGGTGTGATGATGGCCGTTTTTTCGATATCTTCTTGGGCAACTGGTATTTGGTGATAGGCCCTGACCAGGTCTACCTTAGAAAATATGGTTTTTCCGTGTAGTGTCAGGGAGAAATCATGAAGATGAGGAATAGGATAACGGTCGGGAACGGTGGCATTGTTTAAGTGTCTGTAATCCCCGCATGGCCTCCAATCATGATCAGCCTTAGGCACCATGTGTAAGGGCGAAGACCAAGGGCTATTGGAGGGTCTGATGATGCCGAGCTGCATCATTTGATCAAACTCTGCCTTGGCTGCTGCTAATTTTTCCGGGGGTAATCTACGAGGGCGAGCACGAACTGGTTGACCCGTAGTAACTATCTTGTGAGTCACTGTATGAGGGACGTCCTCGACGTTGTACGACGGCTTAAGAATTTTAGGGAAACGATGAAGCAGGGCGGAAAGAGTGCAATCCGCTGGTCTTTCAATACTGATATTGTAGACAGAATAGTTGGAGATAATTCCGTGGATCTGTAGTTGGGTGTTGTTATCAATCAGCTTTTTATTTTTGACGTCAACTAACAGGTTGAAATTGGTGAAGAAATCAGCTCCTAGGATGGCGTGACCGACGTCGGCTACTATGAAAATCCATGTGAACCGCCGACGCAAACCTAGATCCAGTATAAGGGATTGCTCTCCATACGTCGGTATAGTTGTGTGGTTGGCTGCCCGGAGAGACAGTTTTCCGGGTGTCCGTGTAGATCGCCTGGATAATGAAGGAGGGATTACGCTAACTTCTGCCCCCGTTTCTACCAGGAACAAAGTGTCTGAAGTTTTATCCTTCACATAAAAGAGGCGACTTGTTTGCTTGCCAGTAACAGCTGTCGCCATCACTGTCTGGCTGAGGCGTTTCCCTGCCTGGTTGGCTTCGCTAAAGCTGCACGGTTTTACACATTTGAGGGCATGACGTCCAAACTTCCAGTGATACCAACATATATTATTATTCCGAGAAGGTGTGTGAGAACGCTGTCATGAGAAGGATCGTCGTCGTGACGGTGACCTTCTTTGTGAACTCTGTCTCCGGACCTGTCGACCAGACCTATTAGTTTCTAACTTGTCAATCCTTGCCGCTAAGTCTGCAATGGCAGCGAGTATCGGTGTGTCTACCGTGGGTGTGGCATGAGACGGTGTGGCACTATCAGATGATATGTGACTTATGGTGTTATCAGATAAAACATCCATAATACTATCTGCCATGTCACTTAGTTGGTCTAAGTCATACGACTTTCCTGAGATGATTAAAATTTGCTGGACATTTCTTGGTAAACGTTGCAGCCACATCTGTTTCAGCACTACCTCGTCTACTTTATGGTGTCCGATTAACTGACGCATGTGCCTGAGCAGCTGGGATGGTTTACGTGGGCCTAGTTCACAACCTGTGAGCAGTTGTTGGATTCTTTTCTCATCGGACAAACTGGTGCGTTGTATGAGGAGGGCTTTAAGTTTATCAAATTGGTGTTCCGTCGGGGGATTTTCGATGAAATCGCTGATTTCTGTCAATACTGACGTAGGGAGTTCTGCCAGCACTGCCCCATATTTGGCTATCTGGGACTTAATGCCCCGTGCGTCTAGTAACGGCTCAATTACCGCAAACCAAATCCTTGGTTCTGCGAAACCGTATGGAGGTAAACGGATATCCGTGATGGCATTTATTGTGGCATTTGTCTCGCTGTTAGCTGTCTGCCCGTTTGATGTACCAGACTGAGGTGACGACATGATAAATATGGGGGTATTGTTGCAAAATAGGATACAAATATAAACCACACACAAAATCACAATAAATATATAAAACAGCAAAAATGAGAACATGAATATGCCAAAATAAACCGTGTTCTTATCGGGCTCACCAATTAATTTGTAGGGGACTTATGTTAGAGTTCACTAGTATTACAAAATATGAGAAATAAAATTCAAGTCAATGGAATGTTAAGTAACAGTATATTACCAAAAATGCAACGACACGTTATATCAACAAAAGGGTTACTTGGAAATAAAGTTTAAGTCCTCTGCTACAAATTATTTATATAACCCACGGAGACGTTAATTGTTTGGACGGAGTAGGTTGTAGCTGCTGTGTCCCGGTTGTAGAATTGTCTTCGGTTGAGCGTAGTGGACTTCTACAATAAATCCGAAAGATACAACACGGTGAGAGCTGAGCTAGTAAGCCGAAGAAACCAAGGAGAAGACGAAGTCTCCAACAGCAGAGTGTATTTTCCAATCGTACACGGAAGCCAAGTGTATTTCAACAAGAAGCGTTTTAAACAAAAATTATGTACAATATGTCTAATTTCTACAAATAACCAAAAAGTGTACAATCACATTGTTACGCACTCCACATATATACCGTACTTTGGACGACTAAATTTGGTCTTTTACTTTGTCTTTGGTACTCGAGTAGCGAGCAGTATAGAAGTTGTTTGCATAAGATCTTGCGTTAGTATACTCCGTACAATTCGTGAACGTTGATACCTTCAACATCCAAAATGTCATCTGCAAGGGAAAGAGTAATTTACCTAAATCCCTACGTACCTGACTCATCTGTACTTCTGAAGCTTTGGCTATAGAAACAGAAAAGCCAGATCTCTGTGTACAGGAAATGTTCGTTCAACCCCTTCAACTTTCATGGTCTTAATCCCTCTATGCTAAAGTATGGATATCCCCAATCATATTTTGGCTCCACCAATTTTTAATTTTTTCATTTTGTCTGTTTAATTTGTATTCTCTTCCTTATTACGTCAATTGTTGCTATTACTACTCTCACTTTGAACTGTCCCCGGTCTAAGATATGATAGTTCAAAGTAAGAATACGAAACAAAGAATGAAGCAGACGAAGAACGCTAATTGGTACAGAGATAAACTGTTAAGAATTTCCTGTAGACCTTATGCTACCCATGGGTATTCAATAAGTAATAAATGTATTTTCATGTCCCGCACTAAGCATTCCTGATACTCTGACTCACTGGAATAAAATTAGACGAAGTAAAAGGTGATATTATGGCATTTTACAGACTGTGTATTAGGGGTTTTGAGCTGCTTTGATCATTTCCTACTGAAAAGATTTCAGGCCAGATGATTATTCCTAATCTAAGTCGGATATAAAGCACGGCAAATATCGGTTCGATTATGGATTGACTGTGCAGACAAACGGATAATCGCATTACAAACGGACGGGTAGTCAATTCTGCATTACAAGTGACAATGTGGTCAGCTTGTAAACCAGAGCATTTCTGGACCTGATAAGCTCCCCGTTAACATTTTGCAAGGGTGTTACTTATATATACTTCATAGAGATAATCATCTTATACACTTTATGGCACACTGTTCAACCTCTTCTGATGAGTGCAAAATGTATCTGATTTCATACTCAGCACTACAGTCCTATAAAATAGTGCGGAAACTAAACATTCATTCTAATTCTTTAATTTGAAAAATACAGGTACCGAAAAGGTGCGAGAAAGTTTCAAAATAATGCGTTCCGTTGAAAAAGTGAATAGTCAGAGAAACCAGGAGAACCCAGTTTGAAAATTGTAAAGCTTTAATGCCATAAAAGCACCAAAACACTATTTTCAGCAGTGACTGATTGCCTCATTCAGGTATCCTAGTGAGGTGGAGAGGAAATACCTTGAAGTATCACTCAAGAACCCGTGGACCAAACACAGTCATGTGGCTGACAGCATGATTCTTTTGGCAACCGGTTTTTTAACAGACTACTCCTCAGACTGGGCTTGTTTGTCATCCCATCAGTAAAAACTTAAGAATATAGATGAGGTGACTACACAACTTTTTCGTCACTGAAATCAACAACATTAGTTCCGAAGAGAGAATCAGCTAATCTTTATTAACGCCTTACCTTTACTGCTATATTGGATGAGCTTTAGTATCAGACCAGTAGTTAC